CTGTACAGCCTGTGTGAAAGGTTTGTGTGCCAGATGAAATGTGCCAGAGCCAGCAGCCAGGGCCAAATCTGACACATGGAGCAGCTTTGGGAGGAGCAAGGACTTAAGCTGCCGAGTGGAGGAGGAAGAGGACGAGCTTTGGTGAAAGACAAGGGGTGGCGTTTGGAGGTGGGAGGATTTGTGAATGTACTGTACTGGAAAAAATAAGGGTTCTGTGTGTGTGTGTGTGTGTGTGTGTGTGTGTGTGTGTGTGTGTGTGTGTGTGTGTGTGTGCGCGCGCTCTGTGTTATGCATGTGTAGTTGAGTGCACACTCCGAAAAGAAGTGCGCATTTGTGCAATGGGGAGATGTGCGTCATACGTGAGCCCTCACACCAGATTGTACTCTTTGAGATTGAGCTGTAGGATGGTGTCTTTGACAGCTGCAAACACAAAGCGGATGTTCTCAGTGTCCGTGGCACAAGTGAAGTGAGAGTAGATGATCTTGTCGCTGTCTGGGTTTAAGTCCACAAACATCTTGAGGATGAACTCCCGCGCTGCCTGTGCATCTCTCTGGGGACCTGAGATACAGAGACAGACAAGCACATGCAAGCGTTGACATATTTCTCAACATAAAGTCATTTAAAAATAATAAGGAAACTTTTAGGAGGGGGAAATAATTTTATATTTTATTTTTGAGCATCAGATGACACGATTGATTAATCATGTCTGTGCCTTGAGTATGGAGCTTTAAAAGGGCCCCACATTGGAGGATAAGCTGCAGATTTTTAGTCTTAATTTTGAATCCTAAATATATATGTTTTATATTTACTACTTGAAATCCTGTAGTGTGAAAATAGCCAATAAGAGTGAGCTGACCGGGAAGAGTCACCAACCACATGTTGAGTACTTGTGTAGAACAGAAACATGGCTGGCCTAAAGTGTAGTAGTATTAATTAATTAGTAATTTCTAATGATCCCAAGTTTCACTCTCCCTTCCACCTGTGTAGAAATAACAATAGCGTTAGCTTGTAGCAGCAGCTAATCTTAAAGCAGGAGTAGGGAGTTCTTATTTCTTCATATTTGCTAAAACTGCCACAATATCTTAACAGTACGTGAGACAGATAATCTGTAAATAAATTTAAAAAAAAATCCAGTTCCTCTGGCTCATCCTCATGCTCCTAAAACCATTTGTAAGAATCCCCCGCTCCTTCTCCTGAGTGAAAACAACCAACCAGAGCCAGGAGCAGTCTCAATCACTGCCCCAGCATATAGAAAACACATGTGTGATCACATCCCGGCTCCACACAGAGCTCAGCGTGTTTGATGCTATGGCGCTTGTATTGACAAGTAGCAAAGAGGCGTAATGACAAACAGTGGAGAATAACTTTTGAGGGGGGTCAGTGGTGTACTAGCCTCTAATCCCTCTGTTAGACATTGCCGCAGCTGCCTCTGAAGCCTGGGGCATTCTGCCCTGGGCCCAAAACCATTGTGTCGACAGCAATTGTTGCCGACTGCAGCTTTAAGCTCCGAATCTCACTAATTAACACACTGTAACACATTTTTTAAAATTCATACAAAAACAGGAATAATAAGCAGTTTTAGTGGGAGTTTCCTGCTGTAACTATTTGTTGACAAGCAATAGTCAATGTAAAGTAGTCTGAATAACCTTTGTGTTAGAAATGTCTTGTCTTCACAGTGTGCTTTACAGGTCTGGCACCATCATACTTGTACACAGACATCCATCTAGAATAAAACTTGTGCTCACTGACCATAAAGAGCAGCCCACGCTTGAGCTAGATTCCTGGGTTCATCAGTTTCAACATGTCATGCCCCCTAAAACCACAAACTGACATTTAAAAAAACAAAAAACACTGTTCTATAAATTAAACAAAACAAGATACAACTTATTAATTGCTAAGATTTAGAGGTGCTAGGTTGAGTTTTTAAACTTTGGAGAACCAGGCTAGCCGTTTCCCTCAGCTGCCAGTTGTTACGTCAAGATGAGATAAGCTCTATACTGAACACACAGACATGAACGTGGGATAAATCCTCTGTATTTCCCAAAATGTTGAACTACTCCTTTAAACGCATCATGCCACTGCATCCATCACAGTTAAGTATTACATACCCTTTGTTATACTGGGACAAATAAACTGATAAGACAATAGATCGATTTCTTACAATGAGCAATTTCAGACTTTTAATAGTGGATAACACATTCACATAAGCTAAAGTCTCTCACAAAAATGAGTACACCCCATTTTTGTAAATATTTGATTATATCTTTTCATGTGAAAACACTGAAGAAATGACACTTTGCTACAATGTAAAAGTAGCGAGTGTACAGCTTGTGTAACAGTGTAAATTTGCTGTCCCCTCAAAATAACACATCACACCGCCATTAATGTCTAAACTGCTGGCAACAAAAGTGAGCACACATCTAAGTGAAAATGTCCAAACTGGGCCCAATTAGCCATTTTCCCTCCCCGGTGTCATTTGACTCAGTGTTACAAGTTCTCAGGTGTGAATGGGGAGCAGGTGTGTTAAATTTGGTGTTACCGCTCTCACACTCCCTCATACTGGTCACTGGAAGTTCAGCATGGCACCTCATGGCAAAGAACTCTCTGAGGATCTGAAAAAAATAATGGTTGCTCTACATAAAGATGGCCTGGGTTATAAGAAGATTGCCAAGACCCTGAAACTGAGCTGCAGCACGGTGGCCAAGACCATACAGCGGTTCAACAGGACAGGTTTCACTCAGAACAGGCCTCGCCATGGTCAACCATAGAAGATGAGTGCACATGTTCAGTGTCATATCCAGAGGTTGTCTTTGGGAAATACACATATGAGTGCCGCCTGCATTGCTGCAGAGGTTGAAGGGGCTGACGCCTGTCAGTGCTCAGACCATCAAATTGGTCTGCATGGCTGTCGTCCCAGAAGGAAGCCTCTTCTGAAGATGATGCACAAGAAAGCCCGCAAACAGTTTGCTGAAGACAAGCAGACTAAGGACATGGATTACTGGAACCATGTACTGTGGTCTGATGAGACGAAGATAAACCTATTTGGTTCAGATGGTGTCAAGAGTGTGTGGTAGCAACCAGGTGCGGAGTAGAGAGCTGCATTGGGATTGGGATCCCGCAGGACCCAACACAAATGGAATGGGCAGTTTTAACTTAGCTGCGGGCGGGAGTGGGCGGTTAAAAAAATATACTGGGGGTTCCGCAGTAGTGCTGATAAGATGGAGTCAACAACGAAGTTGAAAAGGGTGCATTCGACTGCTCCCGAGAACGTATTGTACGGGCCTGACTCGAACCAGCAACCTCGAGTACGGGAGGCAGACACGCTGACAAGGGAGCTAAACTCCGTGGCCACTGACGTCACTCGCCATTACGTCTCCTAAGGTGTCGGGAGTAAGGTTTACTCACTGCACAGCTTCGCTGGTTTCCGTCCGTTTAGCATAGCCCAAACATTTGTGTCCTTTTTTTTTTTTTTTCACTCTGCATGTCACAATATTTGAGGGTACAGGCGGGAGTGGATACATACTGAAGCAGAGCATGATCCCCTCCCTTTGGAGACTGGGCCGCAGGGCAGTATTCCAATATGATAACAACCCCAAACACACCTCCAAGACAACCACTGCCTTGCTAATAAGGGTAAAGGTGATGGACTGGCCAAACAAATGGAAGCTGGAGGAGCGCACAGTCTCTAACATCCACCAGCTTTGTCATTCCAGTGGCAACCTGTGAAAGTCTGGTGAAGCCCATGCCGAAGTGGGTTAAGGCAGTGCTAGAAAACAATGGTGGTCGGACAAAATATTGACACTTTGACAATTAGGGGTGTACTCACTTTTGTTGCCAGTGATTTAGACATTAATGGCTGTGTGATGTGTTATTTTGACGGGACAGCAAATTTACACTGTTATACAAGCTGTACACTTTAAATTGTAGCAAAGTGTCATTTCTTCAGTGTTGTTACATGAAAAGATATATTACAACAATGTGAGGGGTGTACTCACTTTTTTAAGATACTGTACAATCATCGGAGGATGTGACTTCCAGCTGTACATTCCTAGATCAGCAATGGGCCAGATTAGTCAATACTCTCACACTCTCTCTCACACACACTGATCTCACCATCAAACTCAGGGAAATAGTCCACCAAGTGTGAGTAGGCAATCTTCTCCTCTAGTAGGTCCTTCTTGTTGAGGAAGAGGATAACAGAGGAGTTTTGAAACCAGGGGTACGTAATGATAGTCCTGAACAGAGCTTTACTCTCCTCCATACGGTTCTGGTGCAGAAAGCACAGTCGTGTTATTAAGTTTCATTTTACTACAGATAAAGGCATCAGTGGAACATGCAAAACAAATACTTGAAACAAGCTGTGGTTTTGTCCACCTACCTCGTTGTCTGACTCCACGAGAACCTGGTCGTACTCACTCAGTGCCACCAGAAACATAATGGAGGTGACATTCTCAAAGCAGTGGATCCACTTCCTCCTCTCTGACCGCTGACCCCCTACATCCACCATCCTGACAGCAGGATGAAGGTGAAGAGGGGGACAACAAGTGTAGAAGAGTTTTAACAGGACAACAGTTCAAATTTGTATTGTCTACTGCGGTGGTTCTCAAAGTGGGGTGTGGGGACGCCCTGGGGTCCTTGAGAGCGCTCCAGGGAGTCCCCAGCAAAAAGGGGAACCATTTATTCTTACTATAATTCAATGCAGTAACACAATGACAGAATGTATGAATATTTTGGTTATAGGTTTCATACACTTTCTATACTAAAATATTTAAGAACTAAACTATCAAATGGGGGTCCATGGTCTAATTTGTGTCAGTTTAGGGGCCCTTAACGTGAAAAACTTTGAGAACCACTGGTCTACTGTACTACTTTGGTGTTTCTTAAGGAATGTTTTGAATCCATCAAGATATATTTACTAAAGGCACCAAGTTGTGAACCCTGTTTATTCAATTACATAACAAATATACTGAATTATGCTGTTTTGTACAAAATAAGGAGTATATAACACTATAATGGTCAGTTTTGTCTTAAACAAATTCTCTGGTGTATGTCTTCCTTAAAAAAATTCAGCACCCTGCGACTCGTGAAAGCATATTTTTACTATCATTTCAGGAGACATAGGAAGAGTTATTTGGGGTCCTGGTCATTTGTAACAGAAAAACACACACCTGATAGATTCAAAACCTTAAGAAGATGATTAATCAAATTTACAACTTCTTGGCCATGACCTTTAAAGCATCTCAGGGAAAACGTGCAGATCTCTATATTTGGCAAGAAAACTAAACAAATAAGAAACAAATGTGCAGTGTGAATATGCTTTTGTCCTTGTTAAGTAAGCGAGTCATGCATGCCGCCACAAAGATGAAAGCTTACTGTTTAAGACAGATCTAGGATCAGTTTTAAATACCAATGCCACTCAGTTTAGGAAATTGTGTTATTTTCACTGTTTATCAAAAGTCCAGAAAGTCAGGTGTGATATATAAAACAACCAGTTACTATCAACCGATATGGATGGTTGATAATGACTAGGGGAAAAAATGGAGTGGAACTAATCTTAATGAATATGATTTATGTAGGGAAATAAATAGTTTTCGTGCCATCGTGCTGACCTAAATCATTTCTTTTATTTCAATCAACAGGGATCCTTTTTTTATTTGTTGCTCCCCAAATATTATTAATGATTGATAAGGAATTTAATCCATTTACATGTGTTGGGTAGGGGACAGAAAAAGATTGAGAGCAACTGTTATATTGGGTTGTGCATTCCAACAGTCTTTGTAGGAAATAGGTATTCTTGAAGGAAAAACCTTACTGGAGTTCTTGACTGAGTAGCATTCATCTGGTCACACAACTACATCTGATACTAGATCAATCTGTACTTCGGTTTATGTGGTGCGGTGAAAGTGGAGGGTCACGAGGCATTAATTTATCTACCAGACAGCTTTCTCAACCTTCTCTGGTGTGTGTGTGATAAAGCACCGCACAAACACAACTGTGATGTTTTGAAATGCGCTTTGAGAAGACAAATGGGGAAACAGGAAGAATATAAAATGAAGGGCAGAAGAAGAAATGAAAGGGGGCTCAGGGACAAAAGATAGACAGACAGAGGACAGGAGGCAGAGTTGAAATGTTCATGAAAAATACAGGGGGCACCTCTGATGGTGAGATCCTTTTCATGGTAGAAGGACGCCTCCTATGTAACCTAATGAGAAGCTACAAGCTGAGGAAATTGCATCAAGAAGTATGATATTTAATTTCTTGGGAGACAAACTAATACATATAACCTAGAAAAACTTTGACTTCAGCACTTTTGCTGAAGCATTCGTGAAAAGCAATCCTGACTGATACATGTGTGGATCCTAATTAAGGTTTCAGCTTCCTAAGCTTCACCTTGGCAAGGTCACCCTTCAATCGTCAGGGAGTTTAGGTCCCAGTTTCATTAAGCCTTCATTAGCGACAACTGATATAGTAATATCTTTCCTGTAAGGAAACCTTTATATAAATGGAATAAGTAAAATTTAAACACTTAAATTTGTGTACTTAGCTACACCTCTGGACGCACAGTTGCAAGCCTCCAGACCTGGTGTCTCAAGGTCTCTGAGGAAGCTGCACAAATCTATTATAATTCACAATGCAAGGCTGCCCCCTGGTGGTGGCCCAGTCCACTGTGGTCCACAGAGACCCAGGGCCAATATAGGCCCTGCAGGACCTGCTGCCCAAAATAACATTCCTCCACCACGGAGAGGACGACCTCGTTTCTTCTGCCAGCCGGAGAGGAAAGGAGGAGAGGAGAAAGAAGAGAGGAGCTGACCCATTTACAGAGACCGAGCACCAGAATGTAGGACTTTGTGTTCATTAGGGGGTTGTGTTATGTGTGTATGACTGCTGTCGGTGGCAGGAGGTAAAAGAAAGAGTAGGACTTTGACACTAAAAAATGGTAATGACTTCAAATTCTGATCGGAGGGAAGCGTTTAAGAATGGAACACAGATACTTAAGTCAAATGCATAAATTAAAAGTCATGGGTTACAAGTTCTTTCCTTTAATGGGAAGACAAAAAACATTGTTCATTTGGAGCTTTGGACAAAAACACATGGCGTATGGGTTAATGATGTCAACATAAAGAGGGACTGAGCCAAAACAGGCGTCTTTCTACCTGAAAATGATGCTTTGCAAGTCGAATGGGTACTCTATGATTCCTGTAGTGGGGATGCGCACCCTGAGCACATCCTGCTGAGTGGGAAGATAGTTGGAATCTGCAATACGATCCAGATCGGAAAGATAACTACAGGCAGGCCAGTCGGAAAAAGAGAAAAAAAAAAAAGACAGGAAAACAGTTATATAAAGCGTGACAGGCAATTACCGCAACCCCCCTGCCATTCCAGGAAGTGTGGATCAGTCCTGTTGAGGAGGCTTCACAGAAAAGGCCACATTTCAGAAACAAAAGGGTGTTAGTGTCGCTGTTCCACCAACACTCTGTCCATAAACCAACATAAGACTTTTGAGATTAGCTGTTAACTGAAGTGTAGCTTTGTTTAATAGACTCTCTTTTTAATTGACAGCAATTTGCAGTGAGGTCAAGTAGTTTGTGGATTATGCTGTAGACAGTGAGGTGGCATCAGTGACCGTAGCAGCAGTGACTTCAGCAGCAGAGACAGCAGCGCCTGGGTTAGATACAGAAGGTTCGGACGATATGACATCAAGGATAGCAGGAAATACATTTCCTACTTCCCCCCCACCCCACAGGTGTTTCAATTTGAAAATCAACTTAAAAAGTTTACATTTTATGTATTTTTAACTGTGCCCAATTGCCTCACTGATTTTATAATGACTTCCTGGAGAATCTTTGACATCACTGTCTAATCCTTCTTTATCTGGTATTTAATGGCTGCTCCCCACATGCTTCAGTGCAGTATGTCCGGCCTTAAGGCTCTTTCAGACACCACAACGGCACCATTGCGCTCTGAAACCCATTATTTCTAATAGCTTGCGCCACACCATGGTGGCTTTTTGCTGTGTCAAGCACAGCGCGCCGCTCAAATAGCGGTGTGTCTGAAAGGGCCTTTAGTTTTTATCCTGACGGAACCTCAGCACAATTCTGAACACAAACCACTGATATCTAATCAGGTTAACCAATGTTGCCTTCAGGCTCATTTGATCTAAACACAACATAATCTTTATTTTTCTCCATAGGACAACTGGATCTATTCAGGCAAATGGGCTCTTGCCAAGTAACATGTGCTTTCACCATAGTAATGTGAGGGCATTTACAATTTTGTAACTGTCATTATTGCACTGAGAAAGTAACCTTTGTATACAAATCATCTGGTAATGAATTTTTTTGTTTTTTAAAAAAAAAAAAGTTAATATCCTGACTGTAGTCAGTGGTTTCTGTCCTCTAGCTACAGTGATGCTGCAGTCCAGGTGCCATGGGGGTACCTGAAGATCACGTTCTCCAGATCAAATGGGTACTCTATTATACCCGTGGTGGGAACACGGACCCTCAGCACATCCTGCTGGGTGGGAACGTATCCCTCTGCAGTCACTCGGTCTATATCGCTAAGGTAACTGGAGATATACATTACAAGACTTTGGATAACACTGAAATAGACTTTTAAATTACTTTCTTATCTTTCACACACACACACACACACACACACACACACACCTGTACAACACAAGTACATAGCTTACATATTTACCATAGCATTCATATTGGCAACATAGCAAGCATGCATGCACGCATGCCGACTCTAAACAGCATTTAATTGTACTACAGTGAGTTCACAACCAGGGGTCACTAGAAAGTGACTCAAGTGACTTTGGCCATTAAGCTTGGGGTCACATATTATTACAAAAGAAATTAAATCAGAATAGTTTTTAATGGCTCTTGCACCTGTGACTAATGAATTGTGAAAAAGCAACTGGACAAAATGATAATATGCTGCCCTGCCCAGCATATATTACAAAACCAACAAGGTAATTACACAGAGAACACACATACACAGCCCACCAAACACACATCTCAACACACCCTAATTATTTTGAAAACCGGAGTCTTGATCTCTGGAGACAACTGCCACACATTAGAGGGTCAGGATACCAATCAAATCCTTAAAAATTCAGAATTTTCTAAAAGCGGTTATCTACTGAATCCCAAACGAGCATCACAGACATACATTCAGAAAAATTACCTAAGCACACTCACACACACAGTCACACAAATACTATTCTTAAATCCCAGACAGTCTTAAATCCCAGACAGAGATCATACCTGATGTCTCCACATAGAGACACAAACACACATAGACAGACAGACGTACTATTTAGTGGAGTCAGAGAGCTGGTACTCTCTGCGGCGGTCATAGGCCTCTTGGATCCCTGGGTCAGCCCACAGGCTTTTTATAGCCACAATGTAGGGATGGTCAAACCCATTGATCTTCTCGATGTCCACCTCCTTCACAAGCATGGCGTTAGACTGGGAAGACGGAGGCAAGGGGGGAAAGGTGAGATAAAGAGAAGAGAAAATTGAGATGTAGGATAATGATGAACAGGGAAGGGAAATGAGAGACAATGGGGCAGATATAAAAAGAGCAAAAAAGCTACCAGATTCATCAATTTTCATCATTAATTCAGCCAAAGATATCTGAGAGAATCTGTATGTAACTTTTTTCACTGTCTGTTTGGACCTGGTGGCTGATCCAAACCACCCACATATTCACCCATTTCCAAAGATAATGTTTCTGCTGGACAAACTAAATATATCACTTCTTATGCGCCTGATTTTCCTAGGAAAGACTTAAAACATGCAGTTGGTCTAGCTGGGAGGTTAGCGTCCATGGTGCAGTCCTTACCCGATTCTGTTCAAATTTGTAGGGGATCTTAAGGGTCTCAGTGGCGCGGATCATGGACTGCATGGAGGTGAAGATGTTTTGGTAAACAAGTCGGATGAAGCCCCTCTTATCCTCGTCTGAGTACCCGGCTCCATGAATGATCCTCATCTGCTTGATGAAGGTGCTCTTGCCACTTTCTCCTGTACCTGAACAGGACACAGACATGGAGTTAGCAAAGTTATGTTGTTGGCACAGATGGCCTGTTATCACATCCAGAATATTAATAATGTTAGTCCAAGAGATCAAGAAACAGGAGACAAGAGGTGACATACACAGTTTTGTTTCTGGCAGTTTTGTTTGCCTAATAGTCTACACACAGTACACAATTACATTCATTCATTGATGATACCAAGAGAATGGGAGGAAGGTGAGACACCAGTGTTTCCCCTATATGCATTCAGGAGCGGCGGCTACTAAAATGTCCCACGATCATTAAACTATGCGCAAAAATGTTTTCACTTGCACACTGTGCGAGCACGGCAGCACTCAATGCTCGGCTCGCTTCCTCTCCTCGTTCTAGGCAGAACATACGTGAAAGATGGTGTTATAAGAGCAGCGTAACTCTGAATCAGGAGGTGCGTAGCGAGTGTTTGATTATCCGAGCAGCAGAAAGTGACGGTGAACGCGAGCGGAGGAAAATATTCTGGCAGTAAATGTACGGTGTCTGTTACAGTGTGTTAGCTTCTCAAGACCAAGAAAAGTCTGTCGTTTCCCACCTGCTGGAAAAGTGAAGCCGGTTAGCGCTAAGTTAGCTAACATCTCCCCTCCCCTTCAGACTGTGCAGCTGAGCAGGAAAGCTTCTACAGCAGCTACATAGCTGCTATGTAACTTGCAAAGTACCTGGAAGCTGTATTTTATTACTGCCTACTTGTTCAATGTTGAGATCAGGTACAAACAGACTAAACTGACGTAGCCTGCAGCTCTGTCCTGTACAGACTGATTCAATTATTTTTCAGTTTTCAGTCTGAAAAAGTGGTTTTGGAAAAGAAAGGACAGAGGTGACTGGAGGAGCTGAGGTTAGTAAAGCTAATTAATGATGCAAACTAGTCCTTATAAGCTACAGAGGAGACATTTCTTTTTGGATTTTAATGTGCAAATAAAATGCACCTCAGAAGGGAGGAGGTTTCTCATGTTGCCTATTTTTTATATTAATGTCTACAGATAAATGTCAGAAGCTGTAAAATGAAGATACAAAAGGCAAACATGAACAGTCGTATCTATAATGATTCTGAGGTCATATTAACAGGGTTTTCCTGCCGTTAAGGCTTAGGGGTGATGCCCTAAACATGCTGTGCCATCAATGTAAAATCACTGTGGAGCAACAGAACCAACCAAATTAGTTTCTCCAGATCTAAAGGTTGTAGTTCCTCCAGTAGACTGATCTTTGGGTGTTGTTTATTTATTACCTGCTCTAGCTTTTCCAGCTATTTGTTCAGAGATATGGTGAAAATAATGGCCCAATATGATGTGAAATTACAAATTTATCATTGGAAAACATAACATTTTCTTGGGGGGGGGGGACCCCCAAACCCCCCGACCAACAGCAAAATATTAATCTAAAGCTCACATTAAACTGGGAAAACCCTGTAGTTTTAAGCTATTCTAAGGTGCATCACATGCTCATGGACATGAGCAATGTTGCTGAGACATCTTGTGTTGGGGTTTTATATTCAGATAAAAAAATAAAAAATTTTGCTTCACCTTCACTGGACACTGTCTGCCTCACAAAAGGAGATGGAGTCAAGGGAAAACATCTAACATAAAATGGCATTCTTCATAAACCTATAGTATCAAGTCTCTGGCCACTTTCCAATTATAGTCATGTATCTATGCAGCAAGTGACAGATGAAAGGGGAGTGAGGACAGAGACTTTTCTATAGCTCTCACTTTTTTAACTAGTACATCAAAAGTCGCAATTGCACCAGAAGCACTATGACAGTGTTTCTAATGATACAACTATTTCTGAATTACATCTATAATAGACAACAAAAGCCCACAGTTAGACACTAGGGTTGGGTGATGTCACGTTATATACTGCCAGAGTTTTGTCATAGCGTTGTGTATCTTTCCCCTTAATATCTCAGACCATTTGTAGGCAATGTAATGAAAATCATGAACATAGGACAGGACCGCTTTATAGTAATGCTGATATGCAAGTATATAAGTAATGCTTATATTACTTTACAACAATGTGATCTAGTACCATGACTTTTCAGGTAATATGCCGCATTGACCAAAATTTGATATTTTTTCTAAATCGTTCAGCACCAATATACTGTGATCAGAATTTTATTCATATTGCCTCTCCTATTAAACTAGTCCATTCTAATTCGTGGATAATTCATTTTGAAATGAGGCTCCTCATTTGTGCCAAGATGACAAGCCAAGCCAAATCTTTGACCTGTGACAGATGATCCACAAAAATGACTGAAAACATTGATGCAAGTTGAAAAGATCCAACAACAGGCTGCAGCCTGCTGAATTAAGATTCATTCATTTCTGTTCATCAATAAGCAAGGCAAATCAAGCCAATCTAATAATCTAATACTTCTCTCAAAACTCGATGAGATGCCTGTCTAAGTAAAGTTTTGCGCATTATGAAATCGCTCTATTGAAATTCCAAGTTTATAAACTGCTAACATGTCAAAGCATCTTTGTCCGACGTCAGGATGTTATCACACAGTTTGAACGACTCAAAAATGTTTCCAGGGAGAAGAGGGGAGATGAGCGGGGGGTGAGGGGATAATGCAAGCTAATTTAATAAAGATGATTAAGACAACTTGGCCTACATGAGGATGTATACTGCCTAAAGGTGACAGCCGAGGTCAATGTCAAAAGGCTGCATTCCTTCACTGTTCCTCCACTGCCTCCTGAGTCCCTGTCTGGCTGTAAGATCATCGCAATATTTCAAGTAGTGTAAGTTTTCCAGATTTACACATATGATAAGGAGTCCTAAGAAAGGGCTCTGGATTATAGGCACACACTTGGAAACATTCATTCTGCTTCTATTCACCAAAACCTCCTTGATTTCGGGGGGGGGAGTGCAAACTATTTTTTTTTTTTTTGAAGACTTACAGTGACTGCCAAATAAACCCCTATTTGCTGGGGGCGGGGGGGCTGTTGGGCCTAACCCACATTTCACACTAGCCTTCTACCCTCAGGCCACACACACGCTGATGGCATTTCAGTCCTCAGTGAAATCAAAAGGGATCCAGCACATCCATAATATCTGCAAAACTGAAAGGGAAAGACGAGGAGGGAAAAAAACACACACACACACACTCATCTCACCACCACCTACATTCAAGGTTTTTGAAGAGCAGCCATATTTCCGTTACCATAGCAACCCCTCCTCTGTCTCCCTCTCTTTTTCATTCCTGTGTTTTTTTTCCTTTTTCTTTTTTAACCCCTCCCATCCGCCCTCTCTCTCTCTCTCTCTCTCGTAGCAGACAGTAAATATAACTCTGAGCCCCTCAGGCTCGCTCTGTGCTCTTCATCTTTTTGGTGCACCAGAATCCAACAGAATCTTTTGGGAGCCGGTCTGAGGTCAGTGCCAGAGGGTTCCTAATGCCACGGACAGTAAAAATGTTGGGAGACATAGCGGCCTCTCAACTGATGCAGGGAGAAATGCCTTAATCTCAGATACAACATTTGGGCTTAAACACTGTGTCCATACGGGGAAACAACCCTCCTCCATCTGCTTTTTCAACAAAATGTCCAATTTTGGAGAACATAGACTGGATAGACTCATGTGATTCAGCAAAAACCCCTTTTATCTTTATACTTTCTCCAGGGTGAATCAATGCATTGCAGTGAATTCTACAGACTGGTGCCTACAAGGTAGCCAGCCTAATAAAAACTGTGATTGTCTTGCTAACAAAAAAAGAGTTAAGTACAGATAGCGTATTCTTTGTATTGGGCTGCGGCACTAGCGTACTGGTAGTGACTGCAGACTGCTTCAGCAAAGGAGCGAGGGGATCACTCTCCAGCTTGATGTCTGATTTATTTCTCGTGACCCCGTCACAAGATCTCCCTCCGCTGTGTTCTCGTAACTGTCGTGTCCCCTTTTCACCAGACAACACACTACGAGCCTCTGTCCTCCCTTTTTTCCCCTCCCCAGATTGTACTAGCACCAGCCACCACCATTTACATGCCCTCACCAGCTCTCCCCCACTAATACACTTTCTCTCCCCTCCTCCCCTTCATCGCAACCCCTCCTAACCTCCCTTAGGCTAGAAATATGACTCTCCATTCGCATCCCTCTCTGTCAAGAATTTTGGATATTCATAAGCAGAATCTATCCATTCTTTTTAGGTAATGACCTAAAAAAAGGAGGTCACCTTTTAATAGCTCACACACTACTTGGGTTTGATAACGCTTTCTTTTCTAGGTAGCTACGAGTGTGTGTGAGAGAGAGCGCGCACTTAGCTTATGCTCCAATGCAAGGTACACTACACAGCCCACACACCAACACTGGTCTTTTGTGGAGCCGGTGTGTTTCTTGGAACGGAGCTAGAAGTCTCAGGGGTAACCCAACAACAATAAGCGCAAAATTAAAACTTGCTCTGAACAGCCAAATTAAATCAAGTCAAATGTACTTTATTTGTCACATACATGTTGCGATATTCATCCTCTGCATTTAACCCATCCCTCAAGGGAGCAGTGGGCAGCCGCTGTGCAGTGCTTGAGGACCAACTTCAGATCTTATGGTCAGAGCACTGACTGAAGAAACCTAACATGTTTTTGATGGTGGGGGAAACCAGAGCACCCGAAGGAAACCCACGCAGACACGGGGAGAACATGCAAACCCTACACAGAAAGTAGCAGTTTTGTTTACACCGTCTGCAAATATCCTATAATTCTTCCATTGTGCTTCACATGCAGGCAGGGGTGGCCACTAAAGGCCACATGCACAAGCAAGGCCCATTTGTGCTAACCCCGGCTTCCCTATGCAATGCCCGTCACAGCTTTCCATGAACAAGAGATGGGGATTATCAGCATCATGGCTAACCTGCATGCAAATACACACAAATATAACGGTCCATTGGTATGAAAAGTGTTTGCTTATCTGGGTTTATGAACTCTCCTTCAGGCAGCGCGTGGCAATCCAATCTCAGCAGAGCAAAGAAATTTGCATAGATGCAGC